TATATATATATATATATAATAGTGAGACTGAGGGTATAACGGGAGCAGCAGCCCTGAGGTGTGTGGCAGGTGGAGCAGAGCCCGGTGCGCTGTAGGCGCGCACCCACGCACCGCGCATAGCGGTCAATCCGCCGAGAAACCCGCTCTGAAAAGTCCCCGCAGTTTGACGCTCTCACAAAGATGGCCTGTCTGTGGAGCCATCAGCGGTGTGAAAAAAATAAACTACAACAAATAACCCCCAAAGTCGTGACCAAACACAAACGCGAAGATCCCTCTCACAATGCGACAACTCAGTTTCATTTTTTCTATCGCACGTTGTTTGAAGTATATTTGAATTCGGGTAGCAAGGAATCCACGGAACGTTTCATTAACAGGCTGTCGCAGTACTATGGTTCGTATTGGCTACGTTTAAATCTATCTTGGTTTTTTTATCCATTAGGAGTTGTTGTTGTTGTTTTGTTTGTCTTTTTCGTGACGGTAATCAGAAAACTGTTCCACGCCGATCCTGGGACACCAAATTGATCCCACGGAGCACATGAGATGTGGCTAAAGCTTTTCAAATGCGCTCCGAAAACAGAGCGTTCGTGTGCATGGCCACAGGACATTAAAGTAATACATTGGATCTCTTCAGATAAAATTGACAATAAAAAGAAAAAGCGTACCTTCTCTTCTCGGATACGATGGAAAATCAACCGTCAGTGTCGTCGCGAAGAGTCATCGCTGGTTTACAAAAAAGAAGTGCCATGAATTAATCTGAAGTGGGAAAATAGGGGAGCGAGGATCCTCATTAGAAGAGGCAGGAAAAAAAAGGCAAACGAAGTAGAATAACACTGTTATCCACAACAAAACTTATCCATGCGCTAAGAAAAAAAAAATGAAAGCGTGGTCCTCGTGTGCAAAAGAAAAAGAAAAAGGCAAGTACAGCGATGAAGTTTGTTTGAAAAGGAGGCTGTAATTCCTCTTCCAGTGTCTTAGGCTCGCAATCCCACTGGTGGACAAACGCAGTGATCCAGGGCTTTTTTTTTAACGTATACTTTGTGTCCCTACTCTAAATTTGCTTCACAATTTTACCAGCTGAAAATCACAGGATTTGCCTTTAACGCGTTTTGGACAGAGCGCAAAACTTCCATCCAGAGAGGTGAATTAAAAGAGAAAAAAGAAGAAAAGAATTCGGGTGAATAACTACAAGCTTGAGCCTAAGTTGTGTCAAAAAAACCACTTGTTTTGACTGATTTAAGGTAACGCGCGCTCCAAAAAAAAACACTTAAACGAGGGAGGCAGAGAGCGCATCTCCCCCCGGTGGAGTTGGATCAAAGTGTGCCTTAGTGCAGCATCACTTACAGGAGCTGGGATAGGCGGTTCACCGTATCTGTCTGCTAAGCTGTAGATGTCTCAGTAGTATTGTATGAACTCAGTTCCTCAACACTGCCCACCTCTCTCCCTCTCGCTCTTCCTCCGGCTGACATCATGGCTGAAGGAGGAGTCAGGGAGAGATTTAAGAGCTCCGGTCCTCTTAAAGCCGCACTGCGTTGGAGAGATGCTTGCAGAGAGATGTACACTACAGTTGGTAGGTGCCGAGCTGTTCGAGGAACACAGAATCCCTACTAGCCACCCTGCTCCAGAAATCCGCCTGAAAGCAAGAGGGGGGCACTGTTCTCTTTCCTATCAAGCCTTGTTTGGGCTTTATTTATTTCCACTTGGGTCCCACTCTAACTTTAGCATCTCAGAATAATAGGAAGCTTCTAACTCTCTGTGCGTCGTGTTGACATGTTACAATAAATGCCTTTCTGGCATTGGGAGAAAAAAGAGCCTGATTAGGATGAATCTCATGAGTTATTATTTACTTAAACGTCGGTTTACCAGAACGTCTCTTATAATAGAAGAGTCTTCAAGTCCATTCATTGACTTTTGAAGTGGCTCTGATAAAAGATATTCCTTGCTAAAATAGTGCTGTTTTGTTTGTTTTTTAAAAGCAAAAGTAGATCAACAAGGTCCGTCTGAAGTGTAGAAGCCAGAGCAGATAGCCTTAACAATCAGCGACCACTCGTGGCCCATAATGTGTATCCATCTAAGATGCACATTTACACAGTCTCAAGTCATCATCAGTACCATCATATTAAAGCTGACTCGTCTCCGACCTGTCTCCCGTCCGACTGCTTTTAACTCTGACAACTCTTCATCCTTTACAAAGACAAATGGAAAAGCTTACTTCACTTTCAAGCTGTCAGAGACATCCAACGTGTCAGGGCAGGGCTGGTTGATTATTTAACAGGGTTAAATTTCCCTTGTTAACCTGTTTTGGAGAGTTGTAGTCTTTGAGTCTTTCTTGTCTGTGCAACTTCTCACCCTAGTAATCCAAAAAATGGAGAACTGTTATTTTAAATGCATTGCACGGCAAAGCATAAAACCATGAACTCACCCTAAACCTAAACGAATGGCAACAATTAATTTATCCAACTTCATGTGGATGTGGGTGTTCAGTGAATCTGGAAATTAATATGAATCAAATCCAGGGTAGTGCAGACAAAATATTTGATGGTTTTCACAAAAATTAAAACTCAAGCATATTTATACATTTGCCAGGAGATAAAGTTAATCTACCTGGGGAATCTTTAATTCAAGCCACCAACATTTCTTCGACCTAGTCAAATAGTTCAGGTACTCGGACTGGTGTAGAAAATAAACCCAAAACAAAAGTGAACCGATATAATGCGTTCTTCTGACAGTGTAACTGTCACCCTCATAGACGCTATTTAAAATGTCATGTCAAGGCAACACATGAGCTGAAAACTTTGCCGCCCGTTTGTTGGGTTTTGGCTGTAAGATTACTTGGTTGAGGTATTTAAAATTGGAAATACAAACTTACTACCTATCTGCAGAATTAATTCTGGGTCGTATCAAGCTGCCCGAACAACACAAAAAGGCCAACCTTGTGTGCATAACTAATGAGCTTCTGTCTCCATGGGGAAAACTTTATGTGTCCTCCTTGACCACTTTGAATGTAGAATATTTTGTACTGGATTTCTTTGCATCTGCCCATGTGAGATGATTGTTGTAGTCACAGGTAGTAACATTCAGAGGAAGTCTTGTTTTTCATTTTGGTGTTTGTGTGTGTGTTACTTTGGCAAAACGAAAAGTTGTTAGAGCATACAGTGAGAGAAAATATTACTAAGTTGAGAAAGAATAGGTGTGGTTCATTGTCAACATGCCCACCGATATTAGAGCTGATATAATCTTTTCAAAAGATGATTCATTTTGATTAAAAAAAAATATATAAATTCTTCAATTCATTCATCATGTCCTTGTGAATCCAAACCTTTTTCTGCACACATATAAAAGAAATACAAAAGAGCCCACTCACCAGTATACCTTATCAGTCAAGCACAGCTGGACAAGGCAACCGTTGAAGGAAAGAGTTGCAAAACTAAATTGCAAGGTCGCTGTATATTAATGTTCATTGGTGTTAAGAAAGAAGAGCTTCTTTGCCGACTATGCCCAATTCAATGGCTTTCTTTAGTTTTATTATCCTTTCAGCTCAAACAGCATAACTTGTCTAAGAGAAAAAGCAGCTGCACCATCATCTTTGATCATCACTCTCTGAGTTGCCATGGATATTTTTTCTTTTTACATTTAAGCCTAAATTGTTAACCCTGGTTTTCTTTCCTACGGCAGAGAAAATGGAAAAACAAAAAACCAAAGTTCCTTTCAACCAGTCACTGCAGAGGACAGCGGGGGAAATGTGTTGAAAGATACGGGCTCCTTATGGAAAATTTGGTAATATACTGACAAAATGTTTTTTTTTTCTCATCTATACAGGCCTGCTTTGTATCCATGGCAACTTTCAAGAACCACTGAGAATTACCACAATGAGTTGAAACTATCATTATTGCCTCCTTGCTTTCTTTCTGTTTCTCTCCCTCCCACTTTCTCAATGATCTCTAGAGAAAGAAAAAGATTTGAGAAAGATGGAGTGGACAGAGTGGGGACAATTCAATATTTGCTTTTACCTTATTGGAAACAGAGATAGAATTTCAGAGAAATGGTAGTGAAATACAGAGCAGGCAAAAGACACCCTGAATAGAACAATATTTGAAAATATTATTTGAACTTTTCAACACGTGATGGAAAAGTTCACGCGGCATTACGCGCATAAAGAGGTTTACTATGACTCAGGCAATGGGGAAATGACAGGGCATCCGAGTTATCTGACTAACATGTTTTGGAGAACATAACTTATCAGTCCATGTTAATAAATGTAAATGAGATAAGTTAATGAAGCAGCATGATTTGAACTGACCAGAATATCAAATCTAAGCTGTCTTTTTCTGATGACTAGGTCTAGGAACTACATGGAACTGAAATTTTCAAGGTTGATTTAAGATAAAGTAACTTGCAGTTTAACTCTAATGACCTAAGAGGCAAAAGCAACTAAAAACTTAACTTTAGTCCACGATCTAGTAAATGACAGTGTTGAATGAAAATCAACATGTACAAATTTGACCAAAATTAATTACTGAACAAACAAACTTGCTTTTTCTATTAGTTATATCGGTAAATGAACGCTCTTGATCTCAAAGGCTTTTTTTTTTACAGTTTCTACATCCAGTCAACCATATTCCTGAAATCAACTCAAAGCTCTGACCAGGTATTACAGACCGGGGCTTTCCTGCTATTAATATCTGGTCAAAGAGGGCTGAAGCACCTTCTTAAAGGAGTAAGATAGACTTCATTAGAACACAAGCAACTTTGGAGGCTAATGACGAGTGTAACGTTGTGTGGCATGGAGCTGCAACCAATTAGGCTGCAGCCAGTGTGTGAACCACCATGACAGTCACTTCACATGTCCTCGGGAATTGTCCAATTAATACGTGTGTGTGTTGGAGTGTGTTTTGCGTTATACAAAGATGTGATATTGTTAGATGAGTGCGAATTCAAATAATGTCTTGTAGATAACTGACTTCACACGTGCATACCTTTTCTCTGACCGTGTCATTTCATTTTTCTCTCTGACAGATACTAAGCTGCTACTTGTTTCTGACAAACTTTTGTCTTAGAGCACAACCATAAAAGTTGTCGTTAAAAACATAATTATCTCTTATATCTGGGTTTTGGATTGTAAGGATGACTCCCCCCTTCTTTTCAGATGGAGGTGCACCCTTAAAGAGGAAACAAGCCGTGCTGATAAATTATAAATCAGCTATTTACAACACATACATAAATAGGTCTGCGTGGTGAGACCTGCTCCATGTTATAAATAGCGCAAAGTACAAGAGATTATTGAATTATAATGTGCAGGTGTAAAGACTGCTAGTTAATGATTCTGCTTTGTCTCTAAATAAATAATGATTCTGTGGAAGTGTGCTGCTGCTCTGCTGTGTTTCATGTACAAAGGGAGAGGGAAAACTAACATAAAGCTTGCTGGTAATGCATTGTGCCACCACATGTTGCCAAACACGGCCTCAATGTGCCCACAGATGATATCCCAGAAGATATTGCCACATTTTGCTTTAATAACAATAGGCTCTTTGAATTAAAAGACCCCAAAAAGAGAAACAAAAATGTGACGGAAAACATGATTATGGAGTTAGGCAAATCTACATCTAAAAAAATCTACATTGCTTCATGAGATGAACTGATCGTAGCAAATTAATAGTAAATCTGCCTGACAATTTCAGTCTCACGTGGATTATGACATCAGTAGGTTCTGAACACGTCAGTGCAAGCGCCCACATATTTTCTGATTTCTGACTGACTCCAGCAACAGAGCAGAGCCTTTACTTCAAGGGCAGTAAAGGTAATAACGTTATTTCAATGCATTCAATTATAATGCTGTTTTTTAAAAAGTACTGGTGTTAAAAGTGAATGCGTAATTAGATTGCTAATTCACACTGCATTTAGCTGGCATTGATAATTCAACGCAGTGTTGATTGACGCTGCATTTAATGGCATGCTATGAATAGTTTAATCACAATCACATAGGCATGTATTTTTCATTTCTAGCCTGGTTTGGTTTCACACAACTTTTTAAACTTTTCAAACAACTATGTAAAAAGTCAGGTTGCCTGGGAGACAAAGGCTTCGTACAGTAACATCATGACTGTATGGAGCAAATGTTTCTTTGTTTACAGATCTTCGGTTAGTTTGTGCTGAACTATGTGCAGTCATCCAAATAACAACAGCAGAGACGCTTTATTTGTTTGACAGCCAAAACATTTTCCTTCAATTCATCAAAAGAATTTTTAGAATGATACGCAAGATCATTTTAAAGTTCCAAACAATAAAAAAATAATACATCCCACCAACTCACTTAATCCTGGAAGTGTGAATACTTGTTTGCTCATAGTATAGCTCAAAATACTTTGGACAAATAAACCATTCATATACATTTTTTGTTAAGAACTTTATCAGTGCTGTCCT